GTGGTATTGGCGATATAGGCAGATCCAGTAAAATATCTGACTCGAGAGTATTCATCTTTAACGTTGTTTCATTGAACAGATTACCTAATGAGCTGTAGTCTATATTTATAGACTATGGTGAACATGGTCAACAATAATCAAGATGCTGACGTTCCACACTATTTCAAACAAAAGGTTAGGAAGGAAACTCCCATCAATATTGGAAAGAGCGATAACAGCTACTGGGCTTGAGAAGAGAAAGTAATGACATAACCAAGATGTCAACGTTCCACACTGCCTCAAATAAAAGGCTAGGAAGGAAACTCCCATCAATATTGGAAAGAGCGATAACAGCTACTGGGCTTGAGAAGAGAAAGTAATGACATAACCAAGTTGTCAACGTTCCACACTACCTCAAACAAAAGGTTAGGAAGTAAACTCCCATCAATATTGGAAAGAGCGATAAGAGCTACTGGGCTTGAGACGAGAAAGTAATGACATAACCAAGTTGTCAACGTTCCACACTACCTCAAACAAAAGGTTAGGAAGTAAACTCCCATCAATATTGGAAAGAGCGATAACAGCTACTGGGCTTGAGAAGAGAAAGTAATGACATAACCAAGTTGTCAACGTTCCACACTACCTCAAACAAAAGGTTAGGAAGGAAACTCCCATCAATATTGGAAAGAGCGATAACAGCTACTGGGCTTGAGAAGAGAAAGTAATGACATAACCAAGTTGTCAACGTTCCACACTGTCTCAAATAAAAGGCTAGGAAGGAAACTCCCATCAATATTGGAAAGAGCGATAACAGCTACTGGGCTTGAGAAGAGAAAATAATGACATAACCAAGTTGTCAACGTTCCACACTACCTCAAACAAAAGGTTAGGAAGGAAACTCCTATCAATATTGGAAAGAGCGATAACAGCTACTGGGCTTGAGAAGAGAAAGTAATGACATAACCAAGTTGTCAACGTTCCACACTGCCTCAAATAAAAAGGTTAGGGAAGGAAACTACCATCAATATTGGAAAGAGCGATAACAGCTACTGGGCTTGAGAAGAGAAATTAATGACATAACCAAGTTGTCAACGTTCCACACTACCTCAAACAAAAAGGTTGGGAAGGAAACTCCCATCAATATTGGAAAGAGCGATAACAGCTACTGGGCTTGAGAAGAGAAAGTAATGACATGACCAAGTTGTCAACGTTCCACACTGTCTCAAACAAAAGGTTAGGAAGGAAACTCCCATCAATATTGGAAAGAGCGATAACAGCTACTGGGCTTGAGAAGAGAAAATAATGACATAACCAAGTTGTCAACGTTCCACACTACCTCAAATAAAAGGCTAGGAAGGAAACCCCATCAATATTGGAAAGAGCGATAACAGCTACTGGGCTTGAGAAGAGAAAATAATGACATAACCAAGTTGTCAACGTTCCACACTACCTCAAACAAAAGGTTAGGAAGGAAACTCCTATCAATATTGGAAAGAGCGATAACAGCTACTGGGCTTGAGAAGAGAAAGTAATGACATAACCAAGTTGTCAACGTTCCACACTGCCTCAAATAAAAGGCTAGGAAGGAAACTACCATCAATATTGGAAAGAGCGATAACAGCTACTGGGCTTGAGAAGAGAAATTAATGACATAACCAAGTTGTCAACGTTCCACACTACCTCAAACAAAAAGGTTAGGAAGTAAACTCCCATCAATATTGGAAAGAGCGATAAGAGCTACTGGGCTTGAGAAGAGAAAGTAATGACATAACCAAGTTGTCAACGTTCCACACTACCTCAAACAAAAGGTTAGGAAGGAAACCCCATCCATTGGAAAGAGCGATAACAAGTTGTCAACGCTACTGGGCAATATTGAGAAGAGAAAGTAATGACATAACCAAGTTGTCAACGTTCCACACTACCTCAAACGAAAGGCTAGGAAGGAAACTCCCATCAATATTGGAAAGAGCGATAACAACTACCGAACTTGAGAAACCTATTTTCCTGATGAATAGATTTAAAAGTAAAATGTTATAAATAAATTCGGCCAATGAATACCAAATGTTTCCTTATAGGGAAACGGTTGGTATTATTATTGTCATTAACATTTCTGCTTCTTGAAGCGAATTCTGAAGTTTTATAAATGTTACTTGCATTTTCATATCTAAATAGATTTTAATTTATTTTTTTTTGAATATTAAAATTATTTACCTCAGATAATTCGCTAAAATAAGACCCTTAACAATTACCCGACTTGAGTAACTTATATTCCTGAAAAATTGATTTAAGAGAAAGTTGTTATATTTTTTTTAGATTATTTGCTTTTTTCACGCACATCAAACTGCAAAGCTGACTTTTTTTATTTTCAAGAACCTGTTTATATTTGTGGATACATTTCAAAACGCTTCGTGACGCCTAATCTCGCCAGAGAGATAAAGAGATGTAGTTAGAGCAACGTTGATGCGTTGGCTCAGCTACTTTGACCTTCAGCAAAAATGTTGACCTTCACTTCATTGCAGTTGCCATAATATAGGCTTAGAATGTTATCCAAGTCAACTTGGTTATTGATACCATTCGTTTGAGACGGAAACAAGTACAGTCAATCCGATCGACTTAATCAACAGCATTTGAGTATCACGTCAAATACCGAACCCCAACTAATATAAAAACTTGGTTGCTTCGATAGAATAGAATTAAAACAGCCGACTGTCTTCACTGACAAGATAAAGATAGACGAGAAGCCATTTTTATATACTCAGGTATGGTGCTGCAAAATAAAACGTCTGGTGGGACCTAAATAAGACGTTAAGATTTTTAATTATATCTATATACTTCAGTTGAATTAAAACACGTCAGTTCTGACTATGGTGTCTCCTGCAAAGGAGGAAGCAGGTTCGAATCCTGCCGAAGGCGGATCTTTTTCTTTAATAACAAGATAAAATAAAATCTATCGGATTAATAAATAAAATAAAAAAAAATTCATTAATTCTTTAAAAATTGCTTTGTTTACCTTCAGATACGAAGCGATTTGCGCATATTACGCATTATTCTGTCTTGCTTGATCGACGACGCTTTTCGTTGGGCTGAGTTATTCTAAAGCACGTTGGATCTAAAAACGCTTTCTCTTAAGGTGGACGCAAGTTCGAATCATACTGGATGTAGCATCTTTTTCTTTGGCGGATATTCAGTCCGGTTGACGAAAATAAATATATAATGTGTAATAAATGAACAGAGCGCCTATTCAAATATCGGTATCCACTAAAAATAAAATGAAGAAAGTGGTTTTATATATATATATATATATATATATATATATATTCATATATTAAAGTAAATCTCCTTGTAGGCAATGACAGGCTACGTTCTGCTAGTTCTATGCATTTTCACCCATTCTACAAACTACACAAACGGACACACCGATATATATGAATAAAGACAAAGGAAAAACTTGGCCGACGCATCAAGACAAATGTAGGGATTTTATTTATCCAAAAGTATTTATAAACAAAAGTAAAATTACTGAGAGTGCCGCTATGGAATTTTGACAAAATATAAATCTGCGGCCCAGGTTATTTTTCAAATATTTCCTTTCCTAAAAGAAATACTTCTTTACCAAGCCAATACACACTTTTTTTAAAGTAAAAGAAAAACAGTTAAATGTCATTATTTAAAATATATAATATATTTAAAATATAATACATAACTTTATTTTTAAAACAAAAATAATATAAATAATAATTCCATTACAAAAAACATCAACATCCACAATAGCATTTACATACTTTCGTTTATTAGACATTAACTCGCTTGTCGTTCTTCAGAATTTATCTTGATTTTTACTTAACTTTATGCATATTTAATAGCATTCTTTAATTTAAGAATTGTAGTTTAAAAACAGTAAAATCGACCTCGCTAACCAAAATGCTTCTCTGTGACTCAACCCGTAAAAGCACGTCAGGCTATATGACGGCTCCGTATAGGATACAGGTTCGATTCCTTTCGGAGGACGCTTATTTTCTATGAAAATTTCTCGGACATTCAGGCCGGTAAATGTTGTTAATACTGTTTATTATAAACAGTGCATTTACTTAAATGTTTCTATCTTATAAAAAGAACGTATAAGCATAAAAATATGTCTTTAAATAACTGTCGGACTTTGGGCATTTGATAATATATATATTTATATATATAATGACCCTCTCCTAAAACGAATATTTTTGCATCTATTATTCTATTGTAAACATATCTAATTTTATTTTTAATATAACTTTGGGGCTTGTTTGTTTATACTTATTTTCTAACATAAGGTATAAAAGAAAAAAAGGTAAATGAAGTTTTATTATTTGTGTGTCAAAAAAGAGAATTTCATTGACACACTGAGAATCGCCAACTAACCAAAAATCGCCAAACGAAAAACTCTTTCCACAAATCATAGCGTGAACACATTTTTCCCTCCAAATGCCTACACACCAACGTTTTATCGGCTGCAAAAGCAAAACAACATCCGTTTCAGTTTTGATCCTTGTTTCTCTTTTTCACATTTCTCTCCTTTTTTTACTTTAAATTCGTTACTTATTATCTTACATTGACTGAAGACCAAATTGTATTTATTAAAAGATCTATAGTCAAATAAGCAGTTATTTCCCATTAGCAGAAGCGGCATATTTTCTCTCTAGAACAACTGAGGAAAGAAAAGATCAAACGATTTATTATACTCTGTATTCTTTGTGTTTTTCTTCACTTATAAGCTGTTGTTTTTTGTTTTTTTTTGTTTGTTTTTCCTTTCCGCACTTCATTTTTTTCCTTTAATTTCTGATACTATTAAATAAAATTATGTAGAATTACTATGTTCATATTTATACTTTAATATACAGAAAAGTATATATATATATATGTGTGTGTGTGTGCGTATGTGTGTGTGTATTTCGGCATATTTTCAGGTAAACAGACATGTGCATACTTCCATAATATATGTATTCAAATCTATACTTTATTAGTTTAGTTTCTATAAATAAACATACTCATAGATAGATAGATAGATAGATAGATAGATAGATAAGAAAGAAAGAAGTTAAGAGCAGAATGAGATATATATATATATAGATTACGATAGATGATAGTGAACAGTCTACCATGGATAGGGATAGATAGATAGATAGATAGATAGATAGATAGATAGATAGATAGATAGATAGATAGATAGAATAATGGAAAAAGAAAGATAGATAGATAGATAGATAGATAGAAAAGAAAGAAAGAAAATGATATATATATATATATAGATTACGATAGATGATAGATGAAGAAAAGAAAGAAAGAAAGAAAGAAAGAAAGTATGAGATATACCATGGATAGATAATGGATAGATAGATAGATAGATAGATAGATAGATAGATAGATAGATAGATAGATAGAAAGAAAGAAAGTATGATGATATATGAACAGTCTACCATAGATTTCTAGAAAGATGAAAGATAATGAGATATAACAGTCTACCATAGATAGATAGATAGATAGATAGATAGATAGATAGATAGAAAAGAAAAGAAAAAGAAAGAATATAAAGAAAGTATGAGATATATAGAGATAGATTAGAAAAGAAAGAAAGAAAGAAAGAAAGAAAGAAAGAAAGTATGAGATATATAGAGATTTCGATAGATGATAGATAATGAACAGTCTACCATAGATAGATAGATAGATAGATAGATAGATAGATAGATAGATAGATAGATAGATAGATAGAAAGAGAAAGAAAGAAAGAAAGAAAGAAGGTGAAGATAATGAACAGAATGATGATATATAGAGATTAGAGATTTCGATAGATGATAGAGTGAACAGTCTAAGATAGGGAGGGATAGATAGATAGATAGATAGAGAGATAGATAGATAGATAGATAGATAAGAAAGAGTATAATGAAATATAACAGACTTCGATAGATGATAGAAAATGAACAGACTACCATAGAAAGCTATGACCAGAGATAGGTAGGTATGGACAGACATAGATAGATAGATAGATAGATAGATAGATAGATAGATAGATAGATAGATAGATAGATTTGTCAATATTTCTTTTTCAAAAAAACAAACAATTTTTTCATCTTTTCTTTGGATTTTGTTTTTTGATCCGTTCATTATTTTTAAGTCGTCTCGTTTATATTTTATTTATTTATTTTTTTCAATCGACTATTTTTGCCCAAATGTCCAATTGCAGATAAATAAACAAAATCAAAGACCGGAGCACTCATTGTCAGGCTCCATTGAATAAATTTCCGATGAGCAGAAGACGGGAAGAATCGTCATGGTAAATACATGCGAACAGCAAAGATGCAGGCAAACAGAGATGAAATGTTTCCTTTTCAATGACATCTGAGCACATGAACGTTTTCCACAGTAAAATGAAAAATCACGTTACAAGTTATGTCAGCACATGCCTACATCTGAACAGATCTCTCACCCACTCTTTTCTCTCTCTCTCTCTCTCTCTCTCTCTCTCTCTTATACAAAGAGCAAGAGAGAGGGTAGACTGATATGATAAATAGAGAGGGAGAGCAAGAGGGACTAGTTAAATGCATACACAACCTTAAGAAAGCAACCAGGCTTTCCACAGGAGAGACCATCAGTTTTATATATACTGATTTCATTATAGAAGCCAATGTTTTCCTAATAAAATTAGTATTAGGCAACCGATGTTGTTGAAAATTTCATATTAATTATTATAGGCATATACAGAATGTATTTTATGAGTTTTGTAGAAATATCAGTGACAGCTGATATGTTGTTGAATGGAAAACATCTGAGCTGTCACAAAAATTATTTCAGACATTTATTTGCTCTGATGACTGTCAGCATAGTGAAGTGTTCCTGGCAAGGTCTATGGCAAGCGGCTCGGACAAAGAAAGTCATGGAATAAAAATAAATAACTTTTTCGGAAAATGATGACAAGACTAATAAGAATGTCTCTATAAGACAGTGGCCACTATCCACGTAACGAGCCGAGTGCTGTAGAGTGACAAAAACATCGCATCGCATCGACGGGAAAGGGAAAACGCCCTTTCGACTGTTCACCTCACCTACGCTCCCTCTCGGCTTTGCTCGTCTATAGCAATAAGATACAGACTGGGAATAAAATCTGCCTGCTGCTAGAAAATTACCATGTTTATTTTCGTTTTAATTTGTGGGTAACGATCTGGCTGAAGGGATATTTTGAAGCCACAAGCGTTTGACTGGAAGAAGCTACACCCTGAGAACGAATCTGGTGTCTGGTTATAGCTGCAACGCTACAGTTTCAGCTTATAATGACAATCTTTTATTTCAAATCATTTCACGCCAATTATATTAAGATCACCTCGTTGAAGATATGATTTTGCATAATGCAAATCAAATAATACGAGTGTTGTTAATATAAACAAACAAAAATATTGGTTCTTCAGTAGTTTATGATTTCTTAACCTTTTGTTGGAGTATTTTTTAAGACCTGCTGTATTCTTGAATAATATTAATCCCATAAGTCTGAGATATATTTAGTAGAACGTCATATCACCAAAATATCTCATAAACCACTTCGTCAATCGTTACGTCAAAGATTTTATCCCGACATACAATTTGTTTTCAGAATCTGTTTATATTTCTAAGATGAGGTATTATGTACACTATTTACATTATTGGAACTATTGTTCTCATCTTTATTACAACGTTCCAGCTGCTGTACGCTCCGGCCTTCGTCAGGTGGTTGGAATGTCGAACTGCACCCTTTATTTCGCTTACTGGAGTAGACTGTTCTAGTTGCACGTGCCATACTTAAATAAAGGGTTCAGTTCGAAATTCCAACCACCTGAAGAAGACTGGAGTGTACAACAGCCGAAACGTTGTAATAAATATGGGGACAAGATTAGAACAATAGTCTGAATAATGTAATTTGTTTTCAGTTGTCTCAACAGGAATAAATAGGTTTGCCTAAATAGAAAATGGAGCAGCCAATCGTATCGGAGGATGCCAGTCTACAAGGGCGGCTAACTAATCCCCATTGTGGACGCATGCTCAGGCACATTTGCATTTGTTTAACACCCACAGATCCCACCATTGGTTTATACTGTAACTATTCTGAGCGGGCCCAAGTTACAGTTTCTAGGAGAGAGAGAGCGCGCGCGTTATATAGTGTGATCAACAGTCTGGCACACTCCAAACCTCGGTCACGATGACTTGGGCCTTCGTGCTAGCACAACCACCGACGACTCCCAATGGTTTCCGTCTACCCAATTTCAATCACAAGGTTTGGGTATCTTTCAAAAGGTGCCGCACGTTGGGATCGCCTCCTCCAGACCGATAATGTCAAGAATTTACCTTCCTGGCAAATAGACCATAGTGAGGCGTGAATCCGGGTCTAATTAATACAAAGCAAACGTTCTAACCACTCGGCCTCTGCCCATAATAGGTTCGCGTATCGCTCGGTTAACACTCTTTGTCTGTCTCTTGAAGAGTGTTAACCGAGCGATACGGGGTTCAAGACAGATTTTAGTATGAAGATGACAACTGACATTTCGTTGAAATTCTTGAGAATCGTAGTTAACAGGAAAGCAACAAGCTGATGAGAGTTCCACAGGCGAGCAGTGCAAGGGAAGAAACTGTTAATATTATATGTTAGTAGATTCTTACACCTAGGAACTAAACAGTAAAATGATCAAACTTGGATGCCGATCTATCTAGTCAGTTAAATGCTATAGCTGATACATGCTTGTGCAATCATACCTCTTTCGATTCATGTACCTGTCTAGACAGAAGATTTTCCCGCAGTAGGTTGCCGTTTCTTTCCGCAGTAGAAGTGTTGCCACCCAAGGTTATAGGAGAGTGGCGGAGAGTAGAGATGTACCCTTATCTTTATCAAGACCATTTGCGCGTAAGTGATTGTAAATAATCGCTACTGGAATTCGAACTCGGCTCTCAAAGTTCTCATTCCGAGTCGATATACAATACGCCACGTCGCCGAATTCGTACTGCGCTTAAATACGAGGTATAAAAGCCCAACGGAACAATTCCCATATATTTATAGAAAAGGCACCGGGAAGCCATGTTACAGCGACGGGAGAAGGTAATGAAGCCGAGATGTAAAGTCAGGACCTATAATATTGCAGATTCTTCTTTGGATTTTGTAAAGAATAACTAGATACATAACAGAAAGACAAGATCAAATGTGGCAGCAATATTCGATATATGAACGAATAAAGGTACCAGATAAATTATGGTGAGAAAAATTGTCAACGACAACACAGCACATAAAATGAAAAGAATTTACCTTTGGCCCAAACATTAATTCCATCAAATGTAGTTCTCGATTCATCATTAATATTACAGTTGAGAAATCTGTTGTTTGTGTGCTTCTTTGGCTACCATATACGTTTCTACTTGTGATGTTTCCTTGATGTTTTTGGTTTAATTGCTTTTATATCTTGATTTTATATCGATAGCCAAAATGTTCTGCATCTTCGTCTTTGTTCTGATTCACAACAAGAGTTTCTTTAGATATTTTTTGCTACGCAATACAATTTACTTACTTATTACACTTTTAATTCTTCTCAAATTTCTATGACATTATTAAAACCAATTTTTTCTGTCTTTGTGAAAGTCTTCATTTTTTTTCTTTTTTATTATTTTATTTTTCTGTGAAATTTATTCACCTTTTACAAAATTTCCAAGATTTTGCTGCCATTACTCAATAACTTTACAATACGTTGTTTTTCTTTTGGAAAGTTATATTCTATTATACAACACATGGCAATCCATATGTATCTTGAACTAAAACTATAAAGGTACCATTAGATAGATAGATAGATAGATAGATAGATAGATAGATAGATAGATAGATATTGAACAGACATAGATAGATAGATAGATAGATAGATAGATAATGATCAATAAAACTAGACATAAAAAATAAAAATGTCCACTATTAAATAGATTACTGTAAATGCTTCTAATAAAACTGATGTTGAAAGATAACTTTTAAAAGCTTCTTTATATTTATCATATAAATAAAAGTATATCATGAAACATTTACCCAAGTCGGGTCATTTGTTTCAATTTTATTGTAAAAAACATTGAATTGCATTATAAAATATGATATAGTGTATAGCACAAAGACATCCATTTCGGTTACTACAATCAAATTAGTAACCATTAGATACTATCTATCTATCTATCTATCTATCTATCTATCTATCTCATTCTCTTTATCTATCTATCTATCTATCTATCTATCTTATTCTCTTATCCATCTCATTCTCTCAATATCTATCTTTCTTAAACTGTATTTAACTCATTCTCTTAATATACCTATCTACATGTCTATCTATCTATCTATCTATCTATCTATCTATCTATCTATCTATCCAATATCTTAAAGTAAATGTTCAGTTATCTGCCTCTACCGAGCTGGGCGGAAATAGCATCCACTAATTTGAAATTGTTTTTACAATGACACACCTAATGATACATATATATATATATATATATATATATATATATATATATATATATGTGTGTGTGTGTGTGTGTGTGTGTGTGTGTGTGTGTGTGTGTGTGTGTGTGTGGTGGGGAGTATGTGTCTGTTTATTGGCTTTCAATAATGGTCGACAATCAATTTTCCGCAGAGCAAAGATAGCAAATACAATTCCTGGTTTATCAGTCTGCAACCAATGACTGTGGGCGCCGATGTGTTTCGTAACAGCATGCAACCTTCATCTGTCGATTTAATATTGTGACAGTCTCTTGGCGAATAGCGAGGAAGAAATCGAAATATTACCTGGAAGAATAAACGCATGAATATACTCATGAAAGCAACGTTGGAAAATAAGCGTGTCGGCTGCTAACTGTCTAGACAAGAGAAATAATTTCTTTTCAACCGATTTCAAGAGTTCTATTATTATTATTATTATTATATCCTTTCATTTATATTGTATACACATTTTCTTCCGGGTCCCAACCAGAGACCTAAGGTCAGTGTTATGGGACATTACCCATAATAACATAATGAACTATCCGATACGTAATAAATACTGCGCCTCAAGAGGAAGCAGAGAGTCCAGTCCGAAGTCGGGCGACTGGCTGACCGGCTGATCGGTTGAACTCTCTGCCTTCGGGCTGGGAGGAACCCGAATGAGGCTACGCCGAAGGGAGGAGTCTCTTTCGGGGAGGTAAACTGACCCTGAACGCGTTTTTACGGGTTCAAAGGGCATATTTTTGGCCGAGCCCACGGGCTCGAAGATCCCACGTTAAACCGGCCTTGTGCCACATGATGCCCTCGTGGGGAGGTGACTAAATATAGTTCCGTCTGAAGTCTAGAGTTCCGTCTGGAGTCTGGAGTGAGGTCCGTCAGGAGTCTGTCAGTCAGTCAGAGCAAGCGAGTCAGTCAGTCGAGTCAGAGGCAGTCCGAAAATGAGTCGCGTTCAGACAATTACTGCAAGACATTGGAATAGTGATACTGGTCGAGACTACATTGTTCTCCCTACTAAACCTGATTGTTCGTACTAACACTTTTCTACTTCTCTGTATATATTCCTGTTTGTAATGTATCTGTGTTATTCCATATCCGTGTTCGAGTTCTTCTTTATTGGTTCTACCTTGGACTATCACCGTGGTACAAGGAACCGGACCATAACTGTCAGATATGGCTGCATGACATTTTCGAAATTTTTAGATGGATGACACTTGGGAATATCAAGTGTTGTAATCTCTGATGTGTGGGTGGTGCAATGGATAACGACTCTGAATTAGAAATCGGAAAGCCGAGTTCGAATTCATGTCGGGTTCGTTATATTTAGTTACCCGCAAATATCCTTGGGAAAGGTATGAATGAACTTCTGCTCCCGTGTCCTTAGCTATGGGTTAATTATAGGACTTGATCAAGGAATAGTTTTATAATCTCCAAAGAATTACAGTATAAAAATATTTTCTGGCTTTAAATAACCTGCAAAGAGTTGATACGCCGTACAAAGAAAAAGCCAAATCAATCAATCTCGTTTATGCTGTAATATTTATTTTAAGTAGCCAAGTCGACGTCGGTTGAACAGCTTCGAGTGAAATAGTCTCACAATACGTGTTGATTATAATTAATATTTTCAGTGGAAATAACATACCCTTTAATATATGCATTATCAAATCGACTCCTTTTAATTATTATTATTATTATTATTATTGTAGAACTTCAAAGAAATACTAACTACTTGTAAGGAACATTTAAAAGCAAATAATGATTATTATTAATATTATTATTATTTGTGCATGTGTTATAGTGGAACACACCTATTCTATAGTTAATAGACTCTCCCACCTATAATAAGTAGGAGTAGTAAGAGTAACGAGCGGTCGGTCGGTCAGTCAGTCGATGCCGTACGACAGTTAGTCGAATACGAAAGTAGTAAGCGACCACAACTAGATTACTCTGCGTCATTACCTATTATATCAAGTTCCTAACGTTTTGAACGTCGAACCTATTTTAGGACCGTCTTAGTACAAATACAAGCCGCCACTGTGAAACCACTCCATAACAGCATGTTATGTTTCCTGTTTTGTATCGTGCAGAGCCGGGTCCAAACTATGGTCCTTAGGCTCTATAGGAGAATTGTCATTTAATTGATAGCACTTTTCTTAATATATGGATTGTTCCTAGGAAGACGATATTCTTGGCAACGTGTATGCTGTTGTTAACAATGATACTTTTAGTAAAATTGTCAATTCCTTTTCTTACGCGACCCAGAGTTCCGATTACTATTTTTACAGTCCCAGACTTCGTTCTCCAAATCCTGATAATCTGGATCTCGATTGTCGATTTGGACAATTTCTTGATAATTTTTATGAAGGTCTTTCTCTCAGATGGTACTGCTGTTTCAATAAGCATACACCTCCTGAATTTCTTATCTTTTATCATAATATCAGGTCTGTTGGCTTTTATTTCCCTATCAGTTTGAATCGGCATGTCCCAAAAGAATAGTTACATATGATTTGGGGTAACTGTTTCTGGCTGGGGCTTATACAATCTCTCAACGATTTAGATTTTGTGATTCTTGCATATATGCCACTGAACATGTTGTTATGCCTGTGTGTATATCCATTTTCGCTAATTTCCGGACATCCTGAGATAATATGGTCGACAATTTCAGAATATTTTCCGCAGATCCTGAATTTCGGCTTAGTTCCATCCTTGATTATGTGACAGTGATAGGATCTGGTTGCGAGGCTTTGGTCCTGAGCAGCAATAATTAGATCTTCTAAGCTTTCAACCCGATGCTCATCGGCCACTGATGTGTTTTCTGTTGGTCCACATCTGCTTTTTTCGTTCTCCTTCGGTATTTGCCATGCAACGCCTTCTCCTCCCAGGTTTTTATTTTTTTTTTGTAATTTCATTTGGCCAAGTTGTTTTGCTTTCCGTTTTACTAACTTAGCGTAGATGGTATCGCTTCAGTTTTTGTTGGTAGGATTTCAGTTATATTAAGCTGTTTCTTGAAGAGTGTAGTATGTTTGTTGATGGAGTGAATTTAGTGTTTTACTATTTGTAGGAGAGGATCATTGGTTTTTGTGGGGTCTGCTTCCAATCGGATTGTTGTAGTTTTTAGAGTTCAAGTTGGATTATGCCTCGGACTCCTAAAGCTCTCATTTCCTTTCAGCCTATCAATATCTGATTTTGGGTGATGCATCCTCATTTTGGTAAGCATTTTTCTGGCTTTGGTGTCCAATCTTTTAATGACATTCGACTTCCATTTAATAATGTTAAAGCTATATGTTACCACGGGTATAGTTAACGTCTGATAGCCTTCATTTTATTGGCCTTTTTAAGTTCGCTTTCTAGTACCCGACTCACTCTCTTATAATATTCTCTTTTCGGATCTTTTTCTTCATAATTAAATGTTGTATTCCGTTTTCTTCATTAATTCCTAAATATCTGTATGTACCTTCTTGGTTTAGTTATTCAATCTTGTTGATACCAATGTCTAAATCTGCAGTTTTCGTTAGTTTATCGCATCTGAAGGTGGCTTCGGCATATTTGTCGATTCCGAACACCATACTAATGTCTTTGCTGAAGGTTTTTTGTTGGTTGTCGTCCTTGGCAAACGTTTTAAGATCATCTATATAGAATAGATGATTCATTTTGCCATTCTGTGACTTGTATCCGTAGCTATTTTTTTGTTTCGTATTTCTTTAAGGCGTGGACTAACAGTAATCTCTCCAGAACAATTTATCAATCAAATCCAGGACCCCAACGACAAATGGAATTATTGATTTGCCACTTTTTGGGAGTTTTCACTCCAAGATTCTTTATATTTGTATAGTATTTTGAACATATTCAAAGATATATAACAATCAGGAGGAACTTCCATGTCAATAAGAAAGCACTTTCTCTTTTTGGTGGTCTTTGGTCTTTACGTCTGGCTGATTAGTTTGGATTGTTCTGTCTGTGTGTATTCTAAATTATCATGAATTTTTTTATAGATATCGTGTCTGTAACTGGGTGGTGTTCATACCAATTTCTTGCAGTTTGTTTTCCAAAAAAGTTGCAGCTTTTCAAATGCAGATATTAGAACAACCCTAACATGCCGACATTTATATTTGGTGGATGATAATCACGTGCAACCTGAAACAAGATGGTGATTTTTTTCTGGATATTCATTCCAGAATCTGCATTTGTGGTTGGCACAATTTTTCATGTGTTTTATTATTATTATTTTATTGTAATAATATTTAATATTAATAACAATAATTTATTATTATTTGTTATTATTATTATTATTATTATTATTATTATTATTATTATTATTATTATTATTTTGTGATAGACCAGTGCGCCAAAATTGGCGCGGAAGTACGAATATACGATGACACATCATGGCAACATGGCGTTCAATGTGTCCCTGAGTGAGTTTCCAAGTACCCAAA